ATGGAGACACAAAAAAAAAAAAAAAAAAAAAAAAAAAAAAAAAGAAATCCAATGGCAAAGGAGCAGAGACTGTGAAGGTAAGAATATCATGTAGCCACATCTAGAAATAGTCATTTCCTAAATGATTGCGCTACTTACATGCTTTAAGTGCAAGTGTGCCTGGCTGGCAATGTCATATATCACATCTCTCACATTTTTATCTTGGTTCTTCCTTAGAAAGTCCTCTTGTGAAACACCATGCTATATGGGAAAACACATTATGTTAAGACTCTACAAGCGCACTTAACATTAACACAGCTCAAGAAAACAGGCACTTTATAGAGAGAACAGTACATAAAGTACAATGCCTGTTTTTTCAATCTGCATGAGTGTGTGTGTGTGTGTATGTGTGTGTATACAGAAAAAGACACATATATACACCCGGAATATGCAACAAGATATTAATTAACAATAGTCGTAGATAAAACAAAACTAAAAAAACAAGAAAATCAACACAGACAAGTTTAAAGAATCTCATACAGAAAGCAAAAGTTCTGAAAAAGAAGATTTTAAGCCAGGCGTGGTGGCACATGCCTGTAATCCTAGCACTCTGGGAGGCTGAGACTGGAGGACTCCCAAGTTCAAGCTTGGCCTGGGCTAAATTTAGCAACTTAATTCAAAATGGGGAGGGGGGATTACTTCCTCCAATAAAACTAGAACGGGCCAAGGTGAACACTAGGAACAATTTGTGAGACTGTTTGGAAGAGTCTAAGGCATCAAGGTATAGCTGTATCAGATGAGGATTCCTGGACCTTCTTACTCATAGACCCTCCAAGACCTAATATAATTTTTTTTTCAAACACAGGCAATACTATACTACAGCCCCAGTTCGTTTATTTTTACCTTGAGACGGTCTTGCTAAATTGCCCAGGATGGCCTCAAACTTATGATCTTCCTGTCTCAGCCTCCTGGTACCACTGTACCACTACATCAGGCCCTGACAGACAAAATTCTTACTGGATAACTATTACATGAGGAGGAAGAACATTTCCAAGAAGCAGTAAACATTCCTGTCAAAGCGGTTACTGGAAGAGACTAAGCAAAGAACCAAGAAATCACTTCCTCCCCATATTCCTGGGGGAATTCTGAGAAGTTACGGACCACACCCTTACCAGCATACAAATATCCATGGGAAGGAACACTTTTCTTCTGCTGCCATGATAGGGCGTTGCTCTCAAGCAAGTGACAATGCCTTGTGCCTTTCCTATGTGACTGGCAGCATGATCTGCGTGGAGATCCTTTATACCTATGGTTTAGAAATGAAACACGGCTGCTTTGTTCTCTTTAAGTACATAAATCAATAGAGCATGGAAAAATCACCTAAAGACATAAAACTGGGTGCTTAGCCTATGTTTTACTATGAAAAACAGGATTTATGTGGGAAAAACTGGGCTCCGGGTAATGGTGATCATTTTCCTACCAGCAAGTATCTGAATCAAGTTTTCCTCAAACACCAGCACACTGAGAACACACTGACAATTTTAATCAGCTACATGGAAAGTAATTAAAAGTCTTCCATTTCTTCTCCACTGCAATTTCCACATGAGCTCACTTCAAGTACATGCTTAACAAACAGTCTACCCTTTGCTTTCTCCTTCATTACAATGGCAAATGATGGTAAACATGTCTTCCAGAGGTGCAAGGTGAACAGTCTGGGAAGTTCGAGAGGGATTTGTATTACTCTTTCAGAGTAACATAAAGACATACTACCGTCCTCAAATGAGATGGTCCCAGATGTTTCCTCATCAAAATAAGATATCATTAACAGGACAAAGTCAGAAGAGGAAAAGTACCATCAAATTTTCTATCCAGCACTGAGGATTGAACCCATGGATAGGCTACCACTGAGCTACAACCTTTTATTCTTTATATCGAGACAGCAGCTGGCTCAGCTACCCAGGCAGGACTTGAACTTGAGATCCTGCTGCCTCAGCCTCTTCAGTGGCTGGAATTAAAGCTAAAATTTTTTCTAAAAGAGGAGAGAAAAAAAATCTTTTATAAATGCAGTTATATTTTTCTACTCTTCTATATGAAGGAATGTCATTGACAGAAAAGGAAGAGCTAAGATATGAGCCTTTCAAATTGTAAGAGATGCTACAGTAAGAAAGAAAGAAAGAAAGAAAGAAAGAAAGAAAGAAAGAAAGAAAGAAAGAAAGAAAGCAAGCTGTTTGCAATTATCAGGTTATTGACTAGAGTTTTCTCAAGAAATAGCTAAGAGTACTTCTGGAAGTGCCTGAGTGCTATACTTGGAATGTCAAAGGTACACAGACAGAGACAGAGAGATAGACAGATTTAGAAAGAGACACACAGATTTTCCTTCTGACTTCTTTTTAAGTGTTCCTTAATAGAGTACAGTACAAAGGCAAATTCTAGTACTAAAGGCAAATTCTAGTGCTAATCTGTTTAGACTGTCAAAATTAGGAGGGAAATGTGAAAGGTATTTTCACTTGAAAAGAGAAGCATGAAATAGAAAAATATTACCCAATATTTCCAGTGTTAAATACAGAAGACAGCTCTGTGTGTTTTCAGCATAATTTTCAAGTTCCTGGATATTACGATATGCTTTGTCATCCAAATTTTTTTCCTACAGTCAAAGAAAATATAAATGAAGTTTGTTTAATATCAATATTTTATGAAGAAAAGATGCTATTTTTTCCCTAGAGAACTAAATAAACTAAAAATATCAAAAAGATCTAAAAATATCAGCCAAAAATGGTGCTACATCCCTGTAATCCTGGCATTCAGGAGGCTGAAGCGTGAATACTGTGAGCCTGAGGCCAGCCTTGGCTACACAGTGAGCTCAAGGCCAGCCTGGACGTATAATTAGACCCTGCCTCAACCTTCCCCTCCAAAGAAATCACTTATCATATTTATCACATAAAATAAGATTAAGATAAAATGAAAGCTGGGTGTGGAGGCACACACCTGTAACGCCAGCACTCTGAGATGCTGAGGCAGGCGGGTAGCCAAGTTGAAACCTAGCCTAGGCAACTCAGTGAGAAAATACAAAATCAAAAATACAAAGGGCTAGGATACAGCTATGTAGTTCAGGGTGAAGATCCTGGCTTTGATCCTTTGTACTGCACAAGTAAATAAACAAAATAAAATAAAACGACTACACAAAAAAGGCCAGGCCACAGAGCAATCAATAGGCTTGACTGGACCCAGAACTCAGGTCTAGGGATTTAGCTCAGCTTTCCATTCACTAGGCTGGTCAGACCTTCTTCATCCTCTCTAATCTTTCGGGTGAACCTGAAGGTGTGTGAATCACTACTTAAGTATTTGGTAATATTAAGGAGTTATAACTCCTGATATGGTATGACAAACATATTGTGGCTATGTTTCTGAGAAGTCTTTATCTTCCTAAGATACATGCATCTGCAGGTCAAATAATATTCTGGGTTTTAATATAATTCAATGAGAGTCAGTGAGAAGGAGCTGGAATATACATGAAACAAGATGACATATTTTGATAACTATTAAAGCTGAGTGACAGATACGTGAAAGCATATTATTCTATTTTTGTACAAGTATAAAAATTTCCATTTCAAAAACCAAAACTATCCAGGCGTGGTGGCACATGCCTGTAATCCCAGTACTCGGGAACACTGAGATAGGAGGATCATAAATTTAAGCTCAACGTGGGCAATTCAGTAAGACCCTGTCTCAAAATTAAATAACAAAAAAAATTTTCTTTTTGGTAGTAGGGATCAAATTTGGGTTCTTGTGCGTGCAAGGCAGGAACCACTGAGCTAAATCCCCGGCCCACAAAAATTTTTAAAGGGGTCAATTTTTTTGAGTTCTTTATTCTAGATATTAATCCTCTGTCTAAGAAATAGCTGGCAAAATTGTTTCCCCTTCTGTAGCTATCTCTTTACTCTGCTGGTTGTTTCCTTTGCTGTGCAGAACCTTTCTAATTTGACAGAATCCCTTTTGTTGATTCTTGCCTATGCCAATGCCTTCAAGAGTTTCGCCTATTGTGTCTTCCAGTAAGTTTTTCCAGATTTATTTATTTTATTTTGGGGGTTTTTGAGACAGGTTCTCACTATGTAGTTCAGGCTGGCCTCAAACTTGCAGCAATCTTTCTGCCTCAGCCTCCAATGTGCTGAGATTACAGGTGTGAGCCATCAAACTAGGCTGTTGTTTTAATCCATTTTGATTTTAGTACATAGTGAGAGATATGGGACTAGCCTCAAACTCCTGCATGTGTATAGCCAGTTTTCCCAGCACCATTTGTTAAGAGTGTATCTTTCCTCTAGCATGTGGTTTTGACCCGTCCTTTCAGTGATGGCTGAATGTGCCTGGGGGTAGTTTCTGCAATCTCTTCTCTGTTCCACTGATCCAGACATCTGTTTTTCTGCCAGTACTATGCTATTTTTAATCAGCATCGCATTGTGATACAATTTGAAATCTGGGATTATGATCCCTTCGCACTTGTTACTCGGGATTGCTTTTGCTATTCTGGGCCTCTCCTGGTTCCATATAAATTTAATGATTGTTATTTCTAGTTCTGTGAGGCATGCTGCTTGTATTTTGATTGGGATTGCATTAATCTATTTATCAGTTATGACCATTTTCACATTGGTTCTCCCTAGCCAGGAACGAGGTGTATCTCTCCATTCTGTTTTCTTTGATTTTCTTTTACAAAGTACTACAGTTTTTAATACAAAGGTCTTTCACCTTGGTTAGGTTAATTTCTATGTCATTTTTCTTGATACTATTGAGAATGGTATTGTTTTCCTAATGTCTTTCTTGGTTAGTTAGTTCATTACTGGTATATAGGAACACTACTGATTTTTGTGTTTTGACTTTATATCCTTGCTGAATTTATTAGATCTAGGAGTCTGTTGGTAAAATTTGGGGGGGTCTTTATGTAAACAATCATGTTCGGTGAATAAGGATAGCTTGACCTCTTTCTTTCCTATACATATCCCTATTTGTTTCATATGATTTTTCTAGCTAATGTTTCAAGCACTATATTGAAAGGACTGGTTGATAGTAGATTCTGTCTTGTTCTTGATTTTAGAGGAAAAGCTTTGTTTTCCCCCACTTAATATGATGCAGCAGTAAGTCTGTCATAAACGGCTTTTAACAGATTGAGATAAGGTCCCTCTATACGTATTTTCTTCAGGGTTTTATCATGAATTGATGTTGGATTTTGTCAAAGGCTTTTTCTGTCTCTTGAGATGATCGTGTGATTTTTGTCCTTAGGTCTGTTTATGTGATGTATTACATTTATTGATTCATGTATTTTGGAATATCCTTGCAACCTTGGAATAACAGCTATTTGGTCTTGATGTATGATCTTTTTAACGATTGTTGCATTCTGTTTGCCAGTACCTTGAAGATTCCTGCATCTAGGTTCATTAAAGGGACTGGCCTATAGTTTTTTTAGTTGAGTCTTTGTCTAGTTTTGTAGTCAAGGTAATACTACCAGTATCTTCCAGGAACGAGTTTGGCAGTACTCCTTCCTTTTCAATTTCATTAAAGAGTTTGTGGAGTATTGGCATTAGATCTTCCTTGAAGTTCTTGTAGAATTCAGTGGTAAATCCATCAGGCCATGGTTTTCTTAGTTGGCAGGTTTTCTGCTTCATTACTGCCCCAATTCCACTGCCTGTTATTGGATCTTCATTGCCTGTCCAGGGTTTTTGTATTTTCTTGGTTCAGTTTTGGTAAATCATACACGTACCTAAGAATCCATTTCTTTTGCATGGTCCAATATATTTGAGTACACGTTTTCAAAGTAGTTACTAATAATTTTCTGGACTGCAGCAGTATCTACTATTTATTTTGTCTTTTTCATTTCTAATTGCATTGATTTGAGTCTTTCCTTTTCTTGGTAAGACTGGCTGCAGGTTTGTCTACCTTGTTTATTCTTTCAAAGAACAGCTCTTCAATTCACTGATTCTTGTAATTTTTTGTAGTCTCAATTTCATTAACTCCTGCTCTGGTCTTTATAATTTCCTTCCTTGTAGTAGCTTTGGATTTGGATTGTTCTTGTTTTTCTAGAACTTGAGGTGGATCAATGGGTTATTTACTTGGGCTCAGTTTGTTTTTCTGATTCAGTTATAAACTTCCCACTTACGACTGCTTTCACTCAGTGTGACAGCTTCTGGTATGTTTTTCTGGCATAATCACTTAATTCTAGGTATGTCTAATTTCTTAATTTCTTCTGTGACCTACTGATTGTTCAAGAGTGTGTTGTTTGACCTCTATGCGTCTGCATACTTTGTGTTTCTTTTGCCTTTGATTTTGTTTCATTGCACTATAATCTGATAATATGAATGAGATAATTTAAATTCTTTTGTATTTATTTAAGCAAGCTTATGGGCCAGTACGTGGTCTATTTTAGAGAAAGTTCTATCTACAGCTGAGAAGAATGTGTATTCTGTTGTTGACAGGATGCCCTGTAGATACCTATCAAGTCCATTTGTTCGAAGGTATAGTTCAACTCTGATATTTCTTTCTTGATCTTTTTTGTCTAGTTAATGTCTATTTATGATAGTGGGGTATTAAGATTCCCCACTATAATTGTGTTGATGTTTACCTGATCTCTTATGTCCATAGTATTTGTTTTATGAAGTTGGGTATCCCGGTGTTCAGTGAATACATACAACATTCCTGTTGAATGTTTCCTTAACTAGTTGTAGCAAACTTCTTTGCCTCTTCTGATCAGTTTTGGCTTAGAGACCACTTTGTCTGAAAGCAGTGCTGCTAGTCCTGCTTGTTATGGGCTCCCACTGTATGGAATATTGTTCTCCCTCCTTTGATTTTTAGTGTATAAAATCAATCAAAAAATGAGCAACTGAAGTGAACAGAGACACTTCTCAGAAGTATAAATGGCGCATAAATAAATGAAAAACATATTCAACATCTTTAGCCATGAGAGAAATGCAAATTAACACAAAACTGATATTCTATCTAGAAAGAATAGCTATACTGAAAAATCAAATAACAAGGTCGGGTACTTAGCTCAGTGGTTCCACCGCCTGCCTTGGAAGCTCAAGGACCTGAGTTCAATCTCTAGTACCAAAAAAATCAATCAATCAATCAATCAAATAACAAATACTAGCTAGGATAAAGGGGAAAAGAAACCTTCCTACATTGTTGATGGGAACGTAAACTAGTATAGCCACTCTAGAACTAAGGAGATGCCTCAAAAGACTAAAAATAGAAATTCCATCCAACTCCACTAGTCCCCATGCTAGGCATCTTCCCAAAAGGGGCAAAGACATCGTATAACAGTGTTACATGAACACCTATATTTATAGCAGAACAACTCATCATGGCTGCTGTGTTGGGAGCAGCCTATATATTGTCAATAGGTAAGTGGAGAAAGAACAGGTGGTATTTTCACACAATACAGTCCTATCTGTCATAAAGACAAACTTGAGTCATTTGTAGGAAAATGGATGAATCTTGAAACAATAATGTTAAGTGAAATAAATGAGACACTCAAGCTTAGAATTTCATGGCTTCTCTTACATGAGAAACTCAAAAGTACAAATCATTTAAAGAGCAAAATAAAATGTAAATAACAGGAAACAGGGAGCAGATCGTTTGCAAATGGGAATAGCACCAAGAGATGGAGGGAAAGGAAAGGGGAAGAAAGACAATTAAGATGTGTTATGTACATATAACTCCCACAGTGAATGTAACTATTATGTACTACAAATGTGTACTAATAAAAATCAGAATACATTTTTTTTTTTTTTGGTTTTTTTTTGAGACACAGTCTCACTATGTAGTTGAGACTGATCTAGAACTCACTATGTAGCCCAGGCTGGTCTCAAACTCACAGCGATCCTCCTGCCTCAGCCTCCCGAGTGCTGGGATTATAGGCGTGCGCTACCACGCCTGGCTCAGAATAAAATGTTTAAAAGAAAAGGATAATTGGTTTGACCAGTTCATGTTTATGCATGTATTGAAATATTACATTGTATCTCATTAATATGTACAATTATTAGATATTAATAAGAATATAATAATTAGGAAAATAAAAAATACAAAGGGCTAGGGATGTAGCTCAGCATGGAAGGCCCTGCATTCAGACCTTAATATCACAAAAAATAAAAACAAAATTAACATTAAAAAATACCAACTAGTACATGTAGTAGTGTACATGGCTCTGCCTAGATATCTGTCTTTGCCAAGTATCTCAAAGCAGAGGGTGGCATGTAGGGACAGAATACAGATAAATGGCATAGTTCTCCTAATGTTTCCTCCCTTCAAAATATTAATATATACATTAGAACATTTCTTCCCTAAAGAGTTAATTAGCTTAAGGGTTAAAAAAGAAGAAAACACTTGAGGCTTAGTTTCAACTTACTCGTTCATCAATGATTTTCGTAAGCCATCTTTTAGTCAAATTATGTCTTCTGACAGCCTAAAAAGACAAGAGTGTTAGAAGTTTTTAGAAAGTACTAGAAATGACTTCTGTAGTTCTGAACAGAAAAACCAAATGCAAAAGTAGGTAAGGAAACATCTGTAATAATTCATCACCAGATAGAATACTGTGTTAAGTATTAGAGAAAAAGGAAATAGCTCTAGAAAACATTTCAAAACATTCAAGATAATATTTCTCACACTTCTTTTCCACTGTCTTTATCCCCCAGTACTACTGGTCATTTAACAATTCTACTTTCAAATAAAAACAAGAAATACTTAGCTTTTCTACCAACAGTGTACCCTACATATTATATACAAACTTTCTCCCTCAAGATAAGAGTCTATTTAACAAAAATAACCACTTCTCCAAAAGTGAAAGAGTAACTAAAAGTCCAGTGAAAATATTCTGCAGGGAAAATTGTTACCTTAGCAAGTTACAGACACTGTGACAGGAAAGAGGCCACTAAATTTCAGACTACAGTATCTAAATTACTCATCCCAGAGGAAACAGGCAATTCAGGAGGAGCAAGGGAACCAGGAGCAGTGGCATGACCCCGGCACTCCGGTAGCTAAGGCAGGAGGATTGGGAGTTTGAGGTCAGCCTGGGCTACACAGTGAGTTCAAGGCCAGCCTGGACTTTTAACAGTAAGATTCTGTCTCAAAAAATAAAAGAGGAGTAAAGAGAAGTTCCAGATAATTCTAGAATACCTTACTGTACCAAAAACAAAAAGTGCTTAAAAAAGGGAGGCCTGTCATAAAGACCTAGGAGCCAGTTTGAAGGGGCTCCCACTGTCCAAATCTGGAACCATGTGAACATCAAAATGATTACATGTACTAATGAATTAAAACTCTGGGGAACAGGGACAAGATTTCAGCTCAGTGGTTCTGCCACCTGCCTTGTAAGTGCAAGGTCCAGAATTTGATCCCCAGTACAAAAAAAAACCTACTGGGAATAAACAGGAATCCATAAGTCCACACCAGCACTTATGAGTAACAGGAGAGGAAGAGCTCATTGTTACAGAAGGCCAGGTGCCAACTGGTAAATGTGGACAGACTGCTGTGCTGGAAATTATCATTTTGCAACCATAATAATAGCCTGAATCATACAAAACCATCAAGGACTGCTAAGCAAAGGGAGGAATTTGGATGAAGAGCAGGATAATTGCACAGCTTTAAAGTATCATGATTAATTTCAAGGAGATTATAATTGCACAATAAGAAAACCAGGAAACATCTTGACTGGGTAATAAACATCAACAATACCAATAAAGAATAGATAGAGACTAGGCATGATGGTGAACACCTGTAACAGCAGCTGCTTGGGAAACTGAGGCAGGAAGACTGCAAGTTCAAGGTCAGCTTGGGCAACACAGCAAAAGTTTGTCTCAAATGAAAAATTTAAAAGACTGGGTCTGCAGCTCAGTAGTAAAGCTCTTGCCCAGCATATGTAAGGCCCTGGGTTCAACAACAACAACAAAACAAAAAACAGAGGGACAAAGTATCCCTTTACCTGTGACACTCTGAGAATGTCACATCGTTTATTTCAGCCAAGAATCCATAACCTAGATCTTTTTTTTTTTTTTTTGGAACCTAGATCTAATATTGAGAAAACATCAGACAAATCCAAAATATGACTGTTGTATGGAGAAAAAAATGGCAGGGGTATATAGCCTTTTAAAATGTCAATGTCAGAGAAGACAAAAGCCATAGAAATGTCCCAGATCAAAGTAAACTAAGGTGATATGACAACTATATTCTTGACCTACAGTGGATCCCATACTGCAGGGGAAAAATAAAACTGTAATATAAATATGAAACTAGACAAAAGTATTATACCAAAGTTAAATTTACTAAAGTCAGTAACTGTTCTAGTTATAAAAGAATATATCTCTATTCTTTAGAAATACTGAAATATTTAGGTTAGGGTCCAAATAACTTTTTAAAACATTAATTTTTTGCCAAGTCAAAGCTAAGTACCTTTTCACAATAAATAAATACAGTGGTGAAATGTAAAGTCTGAGAGAGATCCTATACTTCAACTGATACTCTTAGACATCATGGACAGTAGCATGGAAAGCTTGCATCTCATCAGTGTGAATTTATGTGATGAAGGCTATAAGTATGGAGAAACAGAGCCCACTTTGTCTGGCAGGTACCCAGAGAAGCCCAAAGGGCCATGTGGAGTGAGTTCCAAAGCGCTCGCAGCAGCTACTGCGCCATAGCAGGAGCCCGGCAGGATTTCCCCTGTGTCCCAGGAAACAGGCAGCCCTCACTGCAGCCTTCTGTTCTTAGTTCATTTTCTATGTGACCAAGCAGAACAGGCAAGTCTGACCTTTGTAAACACACCACTGGGCATGTTCATGACATATAAAAGTACTCACTATATATTTAATAAATGAAAAATCAAACCCATATTTACTGAAGGATACAGCAAAAACAGCTACAGTTTCTTGACCACAAAATATGGTTCAGTTTCTGAAATTAGAGATCAAGGTAAAAGAAGAAATACTTAAACAACATAATGTCACCATCCCTTCTCTGCAAAAGAATCTGATTTCAGAGTCCATGGTCGCCAGGTACAGTGGCAAACACCTATATTCCCAGCTACTTGGGTGGCTAAGGCAAGAGCATCCCAAGTTTAAGACCAGCATAGGCAATGTGGCAAGACGCTGTTTCACACTAACAAAATAGGGCCAGGGTACTGCTCGGAGGTACTGCACCTGCTTCACAGGCATAAGGTCCTGAGTTCAATCCCTGGTACCAAAAAAAAAAGAGTAACAAAATAAAAAAGCCTGCTCAGTGGTAAAGCACCCCTGGATTTGATCCCCAATACTGCTAAAAAAAAGTACACATCTTATTAAAATTGGACAAATTGGTAACCCTAAATCGGCACGTATGTAAATCTACTATAATTAGATGTACCTTCTGGTTTTTAAAGAGAAGCCAAAGAAAGATAAATTTGCTTTAAAGGAATATGATCTTCCACCGTATTCCTAACAAAGGCCAGGATCTTTGATGCAAGTGTCAACACAAACCTCCACTGCAATCAGGCTTGTGTGCAAAATAATAAGCAGGAAGGGTTTCGGGAGTTTAGAGAAACTTTTCTGTACTCTGAGTCACCTGGCTTGAGCTTCCTTAAGTGGAATGAGAAGAGGTAAACAACTAATCTAATACTCACAACTTCCCATCCACTTTTTCTCCTCAGTCCCTGATGTGGGGCAGGGAGTCTGGCCTTCCATCTTTACTGGGGCTCCATGTGAGTCAATCTGGAGCCCCAAAACCAGGCCTGCCTCTGCTGGTGCACAGATCGGGGAAGAGGCATACCACTGTCAGGTCTCTCGATGGCTCCTATTACAGAAACCATCTTTTGGCACTTATCACATTACAAGGGGGTCACAGATCAGCGACAAAAGTCACCTAATTCCCTTCTTCCATTCACAAATTAGCCGGCAGTGATGGCGAATCCTTTTGGGCTTTCAAAAACAAACATCTGGCTATAGCACCAGTGCCACAGGTTCACCATCACTGGTTTAGCAGATTTCTAAACTATGCACGGTCATTTATGAATGAGGGGTCTATATGCTTAGTTCAATATAAAACCATTCACTTGACACATCTAACTATAACAACAATACTCCGGCCCAGAGGTGGAAAACCTACGGCACGCATGCCACAGCAGGCTCTTGGTATCACTGAGAGCTCTGAAACGTTTGCCATCACTGCTCTAGTCCATAGGTGCCTGCTCTTTTAAGACCCAAAATTCACCAAGAAATGGGCAATTCTACAAAGTAGCTTTAGATTTGTTTAAGTGGAATACGCTGAGAGCAAGTCTTCTCTCACAAAAGACTAATATGTTGTTCTACAGTCCAGAAACTGGTATAAGCAGCTACTGGGCAGAAAGAATAGAAAATTTACCTTCCATTGCATGAAAATTTGTGGGATTTAAATTCTATAACTAAATGTGGAAAAATACATCAGTAACCCATAAAAGACCAAATCCTCCTTTTTTCGCTTAATAAAGAAAGACACCAGACCCTGAGGCAGGAAGATCACAAATCTGAGGCCAAGCCGGGGCCATATATTGAGTCCAAGACCAGCCTGGACTATACAGCAAGGTCCTGCTTTACAACCTCACCCTAACCCTACAACAAAAAAAAGAAAGAAACATACCAAATACATCTACAAATTATCATTGGATAACTATAAATTCCTCTGCCAAAATTAACATGGATCTGAATATTACATTAGCTTCTGACAATTTTCAGGGTAGATCCCACCATCAACACCAAAAAGTAGGCTCAAATAATATTATTACAAGTTAAAAGTAGCAGTTTCTTTTTCTTTTTCTTTTTTTTTACCTTCCATAGTTCAGTGGCCACAGGCTGATGTGGTGGGTTGTCACAGTATATATCTTCCACAGTTTTTCTCCAAAATTGCATTCGCATCAGTCCAATTGTCTTCTCAGAAACGGAGTCTTTTACCTGTAAGTAGGGTGAAATCGTAGGTTCAGTCTCCGGTGCCTCACAAAATAATATAAAAACTGTGACTGGCTAAACAGGCTAATGTATAATTTATACCAGAGAAAGGATGAGGTGAAAAACCCTGACCCACAGTTAATGGGAATACACCAGCAGAAAAAACACCCAATCTAGCAGATGCTGCAGATTCATGGTTGTGATCTCAGTTGTAACTTGGTGCCATCCTTGTTCTTGTCCTACCACATTCAACAAAGAACATGTGCTAGACCTGCCCCTTTCCTCAAAACCCCATATCCTCCCAGCCCCTTCACTCCCAGTATCTGACCTCTCCATTCTATTTACTGAGAAGAACAAGGTCATTCTACCTAAACTCCCTTCCTTCTATCTCCTAGTTCAATTTGATTTATATCTGCACATATGTATTACATTTGAAGAAAAAAAATCTTTCCTTTGTTTCTTACACAAAACTGAATACACTCTAAAATCTGGGTTTGCCAGAATTGCTTCCATTTCCTACTTCACATAAAAGATAAAACTTCAATTTAAAAAGTGCTTTGATAAGCTGCTATATACATTTACATTATACAACTACTGGAGAAAATACACAGTTCTGTGATTAGCCTATTCCATTAACAGACAAATGTTTAGTTTTAACTACAGTGTTTAATATCCTTAGAAAAAGAAATTTAAATTCCAGAATGGCAATTTCTAGAAACATTAAGGTCATTAGCTAGCTGTATTTTTGGTACTGAATTAACCCTAAATATTCAGCAATAAAAAGTACCAAGAGAAAACTACCCGTAGAAACCTTAAACACATTTCAATGTATAAATACAACTACCATAATTTCTTTATTGTTCAGTATTAAAAACATTATATCATCATCTTGCAAATAATATCTTAAGTATCTTAATACCAGCCTGAGCCAGTTCCACATTGAAGGCCCTCAGTGCAAAAGCAGAGCTTCGGGATTCTGCAGGGAGCATCAGGGAGCACAAATAACTTTCATAATCTCGTTTCCTATAACAAAAGTGGGAGAGAAAAAGGTAAGTTACTCTTCACCTTCCCAATTACACATAAAAACACAGACCAAAATTAATTGAAAACAATGAGGCTTTAGTTCAGAATAGACCTGACATTTCTCTTTTTATGACTATTTCTTTATAACTATGAAAAATCTATCTGCTCCCATCCTAAGCCAGTTAAAAAAGAAATTGGTTTGGGGGGGGTTGTTTTTGTTTTTGTTTTTTGTTTTTTTATACCAGGGATCGAACTCAGGACTTTGCACTTGCAAGGCAGGTGCGGTGCCACTGAGCTAAATCCCCAGCACTAAGAAATCTCTATTTTTATTTATGTAGTATTTACAATTCTAATTGTTTCCAAATCCCTTTACTTCTAGAAAGAATTCATGAGCTACAAAAGAAATCAAGTTAAGAAAGTAAGCAAGTATTGCTGTAAACTCAGATTTTAAAATACAGATACACAGAAAGACAGAAACTGATGTAGGAGATGTGTGTGTACTCATTTCCCGGCAGCATTTGCTCAAAGTGCCTAGAAGCAATGAATGCCCCCATCTTTCCAGCATCAGGGAATACACCGAGCTCCTGGATCTTGCTTGATTCCTAACAATATTCCTCACTGAAAGAATGGAGGACTCCTTAGAAAATGAGTGTCTCCAGGGATGAGGCATAGAAGACACAAAGCAAGCCTAAAACACCCTCTTGAGCACAAACATTCAAGAATGGAGGAAACAATAAAAAAAATACAAAAACTGGCTTGACAAAGCAATTTGAGCATCAAAATAATAATGTCAGGCTGGATGCAGTGGAATACGCCTGTAGTCCCAACCACTCAGAAGGATGAGGTAGAAAGGTCACTTGAGTCCAGTGGTCGGATGTCAGCCTGGGCAACATAACAACACCCTGTGTAAAACAATAAAATAATGAGGGACTAGGGGTGTTGCTCAATGGAAGAGTGTTTTCCTAGAATGCATTAGGCTCTGAATTCCATCTCTAGTATTACAAAAATAATTAATAAATAGCCAGGTGCGATGGTGCACACCTGTAATTCCAGCCACAGGCGGCTGAGGCAGAAGGATCACAAGATCAAGCCCCGGCAACTTAGAACGACATTGTCTCAAAAAAATAAAATAAAGGTGGCGGGGGAGATGTAGTTCAGGGTAAGACCCTGTGCTCATTCCCCAGTACCACAAAAAAAGGCATGTGGGAGGGGCACTAAGGACATACCTCAGTGATGGAACACTTATGAACTAGGCCGTGGATGGAATCTCCAGTACCAAATAAATGAAATGAAATAAAAGCCAGGGTTGTTGCTTAGTGTCGGTACACTTTTCTGGCATGCACACCCACACAGTCAAAATACATGGATTTCAGTTGCCCAATCAAGTCTGAACTCAGTCATTTCAGTATTTCTCAGAAGCCCTTGAGACCAGATATTTTAAAACCTGATACTGTACACTTCTGCAAATGAAGGGCAGAGAGCAGCTTAGCTATTGGCCCTTACAGTCAGGCCTGGGCTCCAAAGGAGGCACATCCCACCTCCACAAATAATTAAGAAGTGACTCCCAAATGCACAGGCTTCCTAGTGCCACGGGCACACAAAAGACATCAAGTGCCCGGCTTTATGATAATCTACCATAGTGAACCTCAGGCAAATTTCCTACTCTCTCCAGACTTGGTGTTCTTGTCTATTACCACAGACAATAATGACTTACATTGTATTCACTGTCCCCTAACTATGTGTCAGGAACTATGTGTCAGGCACTGTCACAACTTGTAACAGGCTACTTGCAAACTGCTTATAACAGTGCAGGATGTATAGAAAGAACGCAAAGGTAATTAATGCTGCCATTAAAATTAATTACTAGCTGTGCTGTGGATAAGAAGTATGCACACAAAGACGCTGAAGTTAACATTACGGGTCAGGCAAGGTGACATTCTTCAGGAAGCCCAAGAAATTGCTGCCTCGACTTTGTGGCCTGTTGCCTCACTCCCTGCACACATTCACACGCCCGGACCCAGAGACCTTCCGGTCGCCAGCCTGGACGGCCCACAGGTCCCTGTTGAGCCGCCGCTCACCCCGACCCGAAGG